TTCAAAAGATCAGAGTACACCAAGGCAACAATTGCCCACTACTCAAAAACAACATAGTTGCTGGAGTAGAGGACAAGTGACAATTAAATATTTTTTAAAAAGATGTTTGAAACGACGTGGATAGGACACTAGCAACATGAACTATTACCAAGATGCCTATGGGTGAGAGAAAACATGAATTAAGAGGTTCATGATAGTACCCGAAAATACCTCATGCATCTGAAGGAAACCAGAATATGTCACCCCAAAATATGCCTCTTGACCTAGGAATTATTTTGAGTTAAAGGCAATTAAGAAACAGTAAACACAGAAAAAGCTCCCCCTTTTGTGCCTAAAGGCAGGAAATAAATTCTTTTACTGGAGACAGACACTTATCAGCCCCAAGACAGGGCACTAGAGGAATCTGCAAACTAATCTTGTTAAACTAACCCTTATCTTCCTAGTTTCTTCTTCACCATTTACTATCTCTAACCTAAACTCCTTCATCTTGTCAATTACTCATAAATGTACTGTTTGTCTAAAAGGTATAAAAGCTTCCTGCTCTGGTCAGTTCTTAGATCTTCATTCCCTTATGAAGGCCCCCAAGTACATATAAAAATACAGTAAAATTTGTATGCTTTTCTCCTATTAATATTTGTCAATTTAATTTTCAGACCCAGCCAGGAACACTAAGAGGGTCAAAGAAAACTTTTTCCTCCCAGACAGATCACATCTAAAGATGAGGTAAGAATGGAAAGAGGTTGGGGTGCCTGGGTGGCTCAGTCGGTTATGCATCTGTCTTCGGCTCAGGTCATGATCCCAGGGTCCTGGGATGGAGTCCCGCATTGGGCTCGCTGCTCAGCAGGGAGCCTGCTTCTCCCTCTCCTGCCGCTCCCCCTGCTTGTACTCTCTATCTCAAAGTCATAATCTCTCTCTGTTGAAAAAAAAATAAAATCTAAAAAAAAAAAAAAAAAGAATGGGAAGAGGTTAAAAAAGTTGTATAAATTTTTTAAATCTTTAAAAAAAAATGTTGGGGGAGGCACCTCGTGGCTCAGTCGGTTAAGTGTCTGCCTTGAGCTCAGGTCATGATCCCAAGGTCCTGGGATTGAGCCCCTCCACAGACTCCCCTCCTCAGCAGGGAGTCTGCTTCTCCCTCTGCCCCTCTCCCTGCTCATGCTCTCTCTCTCTCTCAAATAAATAAATAAATAAATAAATAAATCTTTAAAAAAAGAAAGAAAGAGAAAGAAAGACAGCCGTTGGTGGTCGGAAGGTAAGGGTAAAATAAAGGGGCAAGCCAAGGCAAACACTGCAGGACTGAGTCTACAAGTGGACAGTATGTTCTGGGCAATCATTCTTGGACTGAAGTCTTGCTGCACAGGTCTTATTTTTGTATATGGTGGTATAATATCTGTGAATGTTCAAAGGATTTTGCAGGTGGGATGTTCCAAACACAAGGTCTTCCCCTGAAAAGCAACTGAAAACGTGTATAATTATTAAACCATACTTGCATAAGTGAATCAAGAAAAGATTCTCTGATGACTGTTTTTCATTCTTATTCCAGAAGTAAGAGTAAAATGGTAAGGAATGGGTATAAAATGGAGGGTGGGGTGAGGGTTGCCTGTTCATTTAGTCTCTATTCTATAAATAATTACTGAGGTCCTACCTTATGCTGCACAGTCAGCTCTAATATTTTAGATTCCCGCATCTAAGTAGTTGCTCAAAATAAACTGCATATGCAAATAAAACAGTTTTATAAGGAATTTTCCAGTGAATCACTTACTGTTCCAGTCTAGATCATCTGGGTAACATCCTCTCTAAATGTAAGTATTACATTCCATAAAGGAAAAGGAAATCTGAACCGGAGTCTCTGCTCCTTAAGACAGATTTTTTTAAAACTCCTATCCCTCATCTCTCCTATTTCAAATATCCAACCATCATAGAGAAGAAGAAAGCACCTAATCATCCTCCAAAATACAACAATAGGTTAACAGACATGAGAGAAATAAAATGGAAACAGAGGCATCTTCTAAACATGTCCTTTCATGTTGTTTTATCTACCAAGTCACTCCCTGATTTGGGCTGTCTCTGCACCTGGCAACTCTTGTACTGCTACATTTAGCACATTGAGTGTATAAACTTTCTATTTACTTAGCTCCTTCTTGCACTAGACCAGAGGCTGCTGGAGAGCAAGAACCAGGTTTTAATCACTGCCACACCCCCTCCCATAAAGTAAAGCCTGGTCCATAGGAGGCCCACTGATGGTTATCTAGGTCTATAAGCTAGAGAACACATCCCAAGGGTTATTGAGAAAAGGATGGCCTAAAATGGATATTAGGAGTTAGAATCAGTGTCTAGAAAACTCAAGGAGCAGTAATGGAAGAATTACCAGTAAGGGAACGCAAGCAAGAGGGAGGGCAGGTTTGAGTAAATCCCTGAAATAAGAACTATGCTCTTAACCGACTGTGTGAAGGAAAAAGATGGGAAACATTGGGATGCTAGTACAAAATATAAACAAATGGGATATTAGGTTTGCAATTTGTTATGTGTTGCACTTTTATATTTATCTTTGTCAATGACCTCTCCAGGATTTGAAACTTGAGACTTCTGAACCATCCTCACCAATCCCTCCCCAACATCACCACGTCCAAGAGTCTCAGTTCTTCTCTGGTTTCTCCTTAACCCTTTCCCAGTATTTTATTCTCACAGCTGCCACTTCTGTTTAGGTCCCCATTATTTTTCATTAGAGTCGTATGCTCCTAATTCAATTCTGTGTTTCCTGTTCTTTAAAAACTGTTCTCTGGTCTGAGCCTATCTTTCTAAATTTTGGTTCTGATTATATAACTTCCTGATTCAATAACCTCAATGGCCCTCTATTTGCAAAGGTCTCTAGAATAAAACTCTTAAGTCATTATTACCACGATATAAATAACATGGCAGAGTGAACGTGCATGGGCAATGGAGTCAAATAGAACCAAGTTTTGAAAACTGCATCCACCAGTCACTAGCAATGTAACTACATGAGTCACTTTTACCTCTCTAAGGTTCAGATTTCCAGAGAGAGAAAGAATGGTAACTAAGAAGACTAAAAAAGAATGTGCCTAGGCTAGTGCTGGGTAGATGAAAGGGGCTCTATATCTTTCCTCCCACCTTCCCACCCAGACCAGAACTTCAGCCTTGATGATACCCTTACCCAGCTCTAGACATTGCGCCTCACAATGCTGTCCTCTGTGCTCCTACAAGATCTTTGATTGCAGTTCACATATCACTTATCCAATTCTGCTTGTGTCTTATTAATTATAAGCACATTTAGATATAATTATTATTTTTGAGCAGTTAGTCCTTTCTTTCTTTCTTTCTAGGTTGAAAAAAAACTCAAGATGAGGATTTGATCTTGTTCATCTTCTTATCTCCCATAACATAGAGCATTAGGTACTACGCATAATAGGAACACTATAAATGTCTACTAGTTGAGTTGTATACTTTTACATGATCTACCCAAGTTTTAAAACCAAAATTTCCTTTTGCTTTAAGAATTAAAAGAGAAGCAGAACAGAGAATTACTGTCATGGGCCTTGAAATACTGTTAATGTTCCCTAAATTGAGTTGATTAATTTGTGTGTCACAGACTGAACACCTACTATGGTGAAGACAGTCTTTAAAAATAAAGGTTTTCAGGGGCGCCTGGGTGGCTCAGCTGTTAAGCATCTGCCTTCGGCTCAGGTCATGATCCCAGGGTCCTCGGATCGAGCCCCGCATCAGGCTCCCTGCTCCGAGGAAAGCCTTCTTCTCCCTCTCCCACTCCCCCTGCTTGTGTTCCCTCTCTCGCTGTGTCTCTCTGTCAAATAAATAAACAAATAATCTTTAAAAAAATAATAAAAAAAATAAAGGTTTTCAGTCAAAAAAGACTTGGGCAAAAGAGAATAATAGCTACTCAAATCCATCATTACCACCGAAAAAAAACACACCCAAAGATCAGTTCTAATGTTATCTAACAGCAAAATTATTCTGCTCTAGAATATGAGTATTAATTTGAATAGGTTTGTATTGTTTCCACAGAAACTAAAACCTGAAATGAGCTTAAATTGCATGCAGAAATGTATGACTTTTAGGATGCTTTAGCTGAACTGTATCCAATGAAAACAATTATGTTTCCTATTTTATTTTTGGTAAATAATATAAAGATCTAATCTTTGAGATTAAAATTAATACAATGATACTGCATATTTTTAAAGTATTTCTCTTGAAAGTAAAATAACCCAGTCACACTTTTATAAGAGAGTATAGAAGTTATTACTAATGTAACTTTTAACAGTTGTTGCTGCTAACTTTTATAAAAACACATGTCAAAATGGTTAAGCTCATGAATTGTCAGGAGACCCCAGTTAAATCTCTTAGAGCTTTAGCTTTTGACCAAATGGACTTAATCTCCATCTGATTGAGCCCTTGATAAATGGTAGTTGGGTAAAAATCATCATCATTATCACATAAATTTACTTCGTTGTAATTATTTACGACTTGATTATATATTATATATCGCCATTACATTATATTCTATATGTATGTATAATATTATATTATGTATTATAGCGGCGATATATAAAATTCTCAGCTACCTTTTACAGATATTTTTTACAAAGTACTCTTCTTTCAAAGACGCTCCCAAGGCTATTAGCGGCCAGAGCCGCTCCAGGCAAGCCGCACTGTGCTCACCCCCTCTGGCGCGCGGGTGGCTTCGTCGAGGGCCGGCTCCCGAGGCTGTTGCTGCGGCCAGGCGGTGCTCAGCCGCGAGGGGTCCGCGGGAGCCGCGAGGGGCGCCGGCCTGTGGCGGGCGCCGGGGCCCAGACTGGGCTGCACGGCGAGTCCTGGCCAAGCCGCCCGCGCTGCCCCGCCCACTGGCGGGAATGAGTGACGGCAACAACAGGTGCAAGCGCGGAGTCCGAGGCTTCTCCGGAGTCCCCGAGTTTGGCGCGTCAGGCCCGAGGGGTCAGAGTTTGACTCTGGAAACCGCCCTCCTCGCCTTGCACCAGCCTTCCGAAGTCGCCCCTCAACCGGCCTCTTGCTCCTTAGCAAAGCCTGAGGTCACGTCAACCTCTCGAAACCCACCAGTCCCGGGCGCCGACTTTTCTCCAAAGGGGAGAAGAGAGGAAGGCGTGCGGTTGCATGGTGCTTTGCATAACCGTTCGCGCTCTCCTCCCCAGCCGTCGGAAAGCAGGCGAGAGTGGCCCCAGAGCCAAGCCCTCGTCCGCACACCACACGCCCACCCCGACTTGGGGCACGCTCTTCCCCTCAGACGGCCCAGCTCGGCGACCACGGGCCACAGCCGAAACCGCCCGCCCGCGCCGCTCCCCGGCTTGCGGCGCCCGCCCGCCCGAGGCGACGTCGCCTGCTCCTCCCCACCCCACCCCCCCGGGTGGCAGGTTCAGGCCCCGGGTCCGAGCCTGCGCCCCTGCAGCTGCCACTGCCGCCGTCGCCGCCAGGGGGAGTGTCCGTCGGGAAACGTGGTGTTGCTTCCTTGGTGTGAAGGTGCTATCAAACTTCGGGTTTCTGTTCCTTTCCCCCGGTTTTTGAAGCGCGTAGAGGAAGATGGAGACCGAGTCCGGGGCGGTGAGTACAGCAGTCAGGGCCTCCGGCCCCGGGGTAGCCCGGTAAGGAGCAACGTGGACTCCGTTCCTGAGGGGCTGGAAGAGCGAGGTCTAGTGCCCAAACGCCCACTATTTTGTCGGGAAGAAACGTGGACAGGATGCCTCATCTACCACCGCGAAGAGCGGCCCGCCTGCAGGCCCGGTCGGGTCGTTTCGTGGGGTCGGGAAGGTGGGACCACCGGGCCTGGACCGGGTGTACGCCGGCTGGGGGACCTCAGAAAAGGCCGGGAGGTTTCGGGAGTCGGCGGGTAGCTGGGTCCTATGCACCAGGAGGGGCTGGGCAAGAGCAACAGCTTTCCCGCCGAAACTGGGCTCAGCGACGTCTTTGACGCTCGCTCTGGCGGGACTCCGCCCAGCCGCCCACCGCGAGGGGTTGTCAGGGCGGCTGACACCGCCTCTCCCCGACTGGTCAGTGTGGACCGGAAGGCCTGAGAGACCTGGGGGGAGGGGAGGGGCACCGTGGCCCACGACGGACCCAGAGACTCTAACACCTCAGGGCCCGGTGGGGGAGGAGCGGGAACCAGAGAAGGCCTGAGGGGCCTGAGGCGCAGAGGCAGGCGCCGCGGTGCCCCGCCTCGCGCCCCGCTGGCAGCCAATCTGCGCGCGCCACGTGCGGACCGGGGGGGTTGCCAGCGCTCAAGGCCGACGTCTGGTCGGTGCCGTTGAGGGTTCCCGCCGCTACTGCTGGCGGGATTGCGGGGCAAGATTTCTCGTTGGCTAGCCTTCTTTTCCCTCCCGCACTTTGGTGGGGAGGGGGTGGATCCTCGTGTCAGTGTCCAAGTTCACGATGACCCGAGAGAACCCGTGGAAGTTGTTGCCTCGGCCATATCCCCCAGCGCCTCAGCTTGCTGGCCTCGGAGGGGAAGGAGCACCGAGGCCGTGACCGCGACGGTTAGCCTGCCCTCTTCCTGTTGTCTTCGTTGGCAAAGTGGATGATAGATTTCGAGGTTAATTCTCAAGGGAAGAAGTCAGTAAGGGCACATTAGAGGACATTTTTAATAAACTCTTTAGTGTAGTCCTAAGCTAAGGACCCTTACTTCTAACCAAATAATAGCACCCACCTAAGTGCTTTTCATACATTTGCAAAATCATTGCCAGTGGAATCTGAGGCTTTATTGTTTAACTCCATGCATCGCTAGCCTTCTCTAAGGAATTTAGATGTTGCTTCTGCTTGAGCCTTGTCACTGCTAACATTAAAATATTTTCCAGGTTATTTTAATAGCATATTCTTAAACCTCAGCCTAATGGTTGGGATATCACGAGCAGGAAGAAATGATTCGTTTATTCATTTGTTCAACAAATATTAATTGAACACTTCCTATGTACCGGCTCTACTTGAGACGCTTTGTGAGCAAAACAGGCAGAATCCCCTCCCGTATGAACATTGCGCTATAGTGGAAAGTGATAGACAGTAAACACAAGTAAATTATATAGCATGTTGCAAGGTGCTAAGTGGTAAGAAAAATGAGGCAGTTGGAACCCACAGTACAGCAGGAGTCTTAGAAACTGGAAAATGAAGTGAATAGGTTGGAAAAGTTGGATGTTTTTCCTTTCTGGGTATCATTTAACTAGTTCTCAATATAGGAAATAAAGCATTCTTTTCACTTCTGTTCATGTCATCTCTCTCTCAAGGAAAAATAATGGAATTAACTTTTATTTAAACCAACTGGAGAACAAACGAGTTCATCTGTTGAACTCATTTTGTTTTTAAGAAGAAAATTTCATAAAGACTGATTTTTTTTAATTTCGCAAATATGTAATTTCTACACTCTCTAAACAGACAGACAAGATTATATCTACTAGAGCTGTCCTATTATCTCTAGCAATGCAAATATCCAGTAGAAAAATAAAACTATGCATCCCCAGATCATCCATCCATTCTCTGCACTACAGACTCACTATTTGTGACTGAAGTTACAAATAACCTCCAAATGCCTAGAGAGCATGCTGTTAAGATTGGATTCCCAATTTCTTTAGTTGGAAACTACAACATAGCAATTACTAAATGTGATAAATTTTCTGTGGTTTAATAGGTGTTTTTATGAACTCCCTTATTAGGGAATATGTGTTGTTTGTCCCCCCTTAATACTAGATGCAGAATAGAGCCCAGTAAGGTCCAGCCTACAGCCCCATAATCACTACTGGTCTAGTCATTTCTCAGTATATCTTGAAGAGATTAATTTAGGGATTATGGTTTTATTGGCCAATGAAGTGGGAGAGGAGAGCAAATATAAAAAAGAACAACTCCATTATCTAAGAGATTCATTTTCATGTATTTGTTTCTCAAAGAATTGAAATTATGAACTGCAAGCTTTTTTGAAGCATTCATTTAGTATGTTAGACTGTCTCGGAAGTCTGTTAAGTGTCCCCAGAAAGAAAGTAATTAGCAAGTGCTTAAATTGGTTTCTCTTCAAAATTCTATTCTCAAGTCTTGTTTTTTTTCAGATATACGTTAAGAGTCTGCCATCTTGCCATTGTACAAAGGCTTATATGTTAATATATATTTATTAAAATCTAAATTAGGCCCCCAACTTAGAATTGTGAACATACATGTACTGAGCTCAGTTCTTTGGTATACAAATTTATACCTATGAGTTACAGGTATATACATTTTTTTTTTTATGAAATCAGTTCAATGTTCAAATTGACAAGTACATTTAAAAATTTGACTTTAGAGCTAAAATATGGTGAACTTGAACATCAGAGTTTATTGACTTGTCGGTGCCCTTTAGCCAAAGACTGCCGGGAACATACCTGCAGTTAAGTAAAGTTGGGTCTATTGAATTGTTGGCAAAAGGAAGAGCATACACCATGGAGCCTCTAGGTAAGAGGGTGTTAGAAAAGAACTTACTATGGGATTTAGGCTTGTGTTAAGCTCTTTTTAGAGAACATTTAAGGAAGAAGGGCTATACTCTGAAATACATGTTGTCAGAAAGTGGGAGTAATTCTATGATTGGGTATGTTAATTTTTATTTAGAAGGTTAAGAAAAATAGATTGAGGCCAAATCTGTGATTGATAAAGAAGGAGCAGTTACACGAATCAGCCAGGATTTTTGTTTCTTGTGGTTTGGACAATGCTTTTGTTTTTGTCAGGGTTCAGACATCATTATGGAATGGTCTTGTTTTTAATGTGATCCATCACAGTCAAAGAGTAACTTTGCCTAATGTCTGTTAACAAGAGAACACCACAGCCTTACTGTGAGTTCCAGGCCAACACCTAACATCACCAGAACCAAGCCAGTTCCCGGCTAGACTGTCTAGGGCTGTTTTTCTCTTTCTCAAACTTCTTTTTCAAGTTTAATATTCCTTAACATTTATAATATTTAAGTAGTATATTTAATAGCAATTAACATAAGTATATTTAAATAATGTATTTTAAGATTTAAGATTTTCTCTGTAGTAGATTCTGTATTTCCCATATTTTTGTTGCTCCAAAAAGTTACTAGTTCTAACCATAATTTTCATAATATTAGAATAAAATTAAAGCCTAAAATATTACATTTTGCCTAAATGACTCAACTTTTTGATAGATATATGTTTCCAGCCTGCATCAAAACTTATACCCAATGCTAAAAATTTAAAAGAATTTTATTTTACAGCAAACGTCAAATCAGACGCAAACAGATTCATTATCTCCATCCCCTAATCCTGTGTCACCTGTGCCTTTGAATAACCCAACAAGTGCCCCAAGATATGGAACAGTGATCCCTAATCGCATCTTTGTAGGAGGAATTGACTTTAAGGTACCTATTTATGTATGCAACGTAGTATTTTTTTGCATTAGAAGTTATTTTATTTCTCAGAAATACTTTGTACAACTACAAAAATAATATTTACTAATTGCATAATGATTAATAGGTTTCACATTGTCTTACTATAAAGAATCTTTTCAATAACAATGTAGGTTAAATAGAACATATATAATTGTCCAGTTTCACATACAAGGAAATTGAGGCTCATTGATGTATCTACAGGCTCCTAGCTTCTTAGTGACAGAGTGAAGACAGAGTGAAGACTAGAATCCCAGTATTCTGACTCATAGTTTCATATTCTTTACTTCACCATGCCACACTAATTATACTTTATTACATAGTATTCCAAAAGACCAAATAACGTATGACTATAATTTAAAAAAAGATTCAATATTTAAAAAAACACAAAATTTAGTCCTATGAAATCCTATTTCTTTATCCCAATTTTATTGTCAGGTTCCTACTGAGTAATATCCTGAACATCTTTCACAAATTGTTTTCTGCCACCTAAGTTAGAATTTGATCACCAAAAAAAGGCTTGTGACCTTGTCAGAATAAAGCATCTTCACATTAATATATTTTAATTATGTAATCAGCCATTTCACCGTTTCAGAGAGGCTTAGTCTGTGTTGTTGTTGTTGTTGTTAGATGTTTTGCAGCACCATTTGGGAGGTAGTAGTAAACACCTCTAGGAAAGGCCTGCATGGCTATTTTGAGTAGAATATCCTACTTCCAAATGGATATGTAGAAGGATTTCCAAGCTTCCATTTTATATACTGGAAATGACAGGGATAGTTGTTTTTCTTAATTAAAAAAAAAATCCTTGTGCCATTAGGGTATGAAATTTATTACTCACTATTACCCTGTAATCAATCTTTCACAATTTGGATGAAATTACTTTTTTTCTGCTCAAGAGAAATGTTACACTTACTGTATTTGTCAGAATAATGATTCTTAAGCAAGTATGTGATTGGGTCACTAAAAATAAAGAAAAATTATTTCTAATAAAATGTTTATTTTTTTAGAAAGATTTTGTTTCTATGGAAAATATTAATGGCTGACCATAAATATTCAAGTTGAGTATTCATGTTCAGAATTAATTTATATTACAAACAGTATATTTTTTAAATAAATCTTCAATAAATGGAAACATTTGTATGGCTAGGTTATTCTAGGTTACTGAATTCTGTCAACTACATTATGAGCTTTGGAGGCCATTGTAACAATGCAGTTATAGCTTTCAGGTGATTGCTAGGGTTCCCTCCCTGATATTTATCTCTTTTCCAAAACCAGACAAATGACAAGGAAATAGTTTACTGTAGTAGCAAGCTGTGTCAAATTTTGTAAAACTTTTCTTTTTAGAAGCTTATAGCCCATCCCTCTTCATATTTAATCATCTTAACTCTCATTTTTCAACAAAGAAGTAGAGCTGCAAAATTGAACTAGTGATTCTTCTATCAGAGAATAGTTTGAATTAATTTGTTTTCAAATCTCTAATAAAAATTCTTATTCTGGCATTGCTTCCTTTTTCAGTTTATTGAAATAAGAGGTATTTAGTTATTCTTATATTAATTCAGTATTTGTCATCATCCAGTTTAGTAGCTTTAGGTTACCAACTAATAGCTTATAATGTATGTAAGTAGTGAGGTAGCGGGGGAACTCAAGAGGCATAGCCCCACTATTAGGCATGTCTTTTTCTGGTATATAAAGAAAATTTTTTTCTAGGGATATTTAAAGTTCCCCATGGCATAGTTATACCTGAGCCAGAAAATGAAATTGCAATGAATTTAGTGTGAATACTCTAGGAAAAGGTGATATGAGTCTATTAAGAGACTATTTCAATTAAAACCGTCTTTGTAGATACCTTGTACATAATAGTCTAATGACTCAGATTTTTATTTTGAATATCATGTCATTATTTAGTCAAAATGTATATTGAGTACAGATAAACTATCTAAAAACTTTAAATCTTGTAGCCACTTCATTGGTATCACAAACTGAGTTCAAGTACTTTAGGAAATATATTCCTTTCCTAAGACCTTACCCTTCCTGGAGACTGCAGATTAAAATAGAGGGACTGGTATATATTGCCAACATCCTAGTTCCACTGCCATGATCGTAAGCCTCTCTGAGCCATAAGAACCAATAGTAATATGCCCTTACTATAGTTACAGCCATGCCTAATTCAAATTATTTTTTAAAAAACTGGCCAAAAATAATTTCTTTAAATATTAGTGGACTTTCTTTGTAGTTTTAAAGTAATTCAGCTTAAAAATTTTTTATTGATTATAATAGTTTAATAACATAGTTACTGCATAAAGCAATGTATTTACATTGATTTTAATAATTTAGTGGTTTATATACTGTTTTTATGTTAAGAGGCATTCTTATATTCATATTACTCTTTGCTTATAATCCTTTTTGTCTCCAAAACAAACATAAGACTTGTTTCATTTTTTAGCAATTAAAAATATTTTTTGTGTTTTTCTTTTATGCCATTAGACAAATGAAAATGATTTAAGAAAGTTTTTTTCCCAGTATGGGTCTGTAAAAGAAGTGAAGATTGTAAATGACAGAGCTGGAGTGTCCAAAGGGTAAGTATCACTATAGAAAGTACATAGAATTAACAATTGTGTTTTTATTGGATTACTAGGTTTTATATGCTTACTTACTTTGATTCCATTTTTTTAAAAGAGAATTTCATACCCTCTTCTTTTCCTCCTACTTTAATCTCCCATTTCGTGTGTGGGTGTGTGTGTGTATGTATGTGTATTTTGGAGGGAGGGGAACACTGTAACATTCCTTAATTTGTTGGGAAGTTAGTTATTCTTGCATGGGCTGAGGGACCATTCAATGTTAGGTAGCAAGCCTTTAATGTTGAGTAGTGTACAGTAGCTAAGGAACCAAAAGCTAAAGGAATCAGATATTTTTGGAATTGTGTGCTTGCTTTAGACTAGAGAGAGCTTTATTTGAAAAAAGCTGGCAAAAGGAATGTCTGTAGGTTTTGCCTCAGAGATCTAGTTAAGGAACTAACCTGACAAATACAACTTTAATGAGAATGGTTTTTAATTGCCAAATCAAAGAGAATGAAAACTGAGAAGAAATCAGCAGGATTTGTCTAAAAATCACTAATGACCTTAGAGCTGTTTCTGTGGATTGGTATATGCAAAAGCCAAATTTCACAGAAGAAAGAGGTAGTTTACATAGTGTACTCACTTAAGAAGTTTGACAGTAAAGTTAAAGAAAATGGGTAAGACAGTGGAGATCAGCTAAGGATTGTTTGTTTTCTTGAAAGAGAGGTCAGACATATATATTTATAGACATAAGAGAAAGGAAGGACCAGTGAGGTGGATAGAAAATTATACTAGTGTGGGAAACCACATTTAAGTATGTCGGATAAGCACTTTGGAAGAGATGGGATTCTGCAGAGAGGTTATTTTTAAACAATTGAGATACTTCCTCAGACTGACAACCAGTGTTAGGATGAAGTGAGATTGTACCTCTTGTATTTGATTAATAGAATTTACAATATTTTGGTAATATCCATTTTTTTTACCATTGAAAAACACATAGAAATGTAAACTGTATTTTATGCCTTTTCCACTGGGTGGTGTATGTGTTCTACCAAAAAATTTAGCATAAAAATATTTCTTTAGCCCTTGCTTAATGTTTGGGCAAATAGAAAAAAGAAATTCCTTTGTTAAAAAAAAAAAACTTTTTTATACAATAGAGTAATTATGAATCAAAATAGTAGTCAAGATATTTAACACTACTCTAGTTTCCTTATCTAAGTAGAAATTATGCTGGGGGGATATATTTTTTATTTCTTTCATATCTTTTTATATATTTTGGCTTTTTGGATATTGCATACATAATATAATTGTATCTTGAACATTATATGAATTATACTCTGAAAGTAACAATTATATATGAAAAGCAGATATAAAATCTGGGATGTACATACTTTTAATTGATTTATGTTTGGGAAATACTAATAATTGCTTTATCAGTTTATATGTGCTAATAATAAATAATATATCTATATACTCATTTGCCAATATAAAAAATTTTATTGTGTTGAAATTTTTATTTTTTTTTAAGTTTTTTTTCCTACTCTGATTCCTATTCAAGCTAAACTTCTATTCTGTACTAAAATTTATTGTATCCTAATTTGTAAGCTAGGACATGAATCCTTCATGCTTTCCTGCCTTGTATACAGCTCAGATATGGAACTGTTTTAGGATCCTGGGTTGGTTTTTTTTTTTTTTTTCTTTTAGTGTCCCAACTCTAGGAGGAGGTGACCGTGTTATGCTCTGAATGATTCTCTTAAATTTTGCATGATGGTGCTCCATAGAAAACTGCTCCTTCCTACAGTGGCCCATTCTTAAAAAGAAATTGAATTTTAATATAACTCTAATGTAATGTTCTAAGAAAATAATTAATGTATTTATTTAGGTATGGTTTCGTCACTTTTGAAACACAAGAAGATGCACAAAAAATTTTACAAGAGGTAAGATCTTTTGATGTATTTAACTTCATTTTTTGGAACTTCTTTGAAACTAATCCTTTAGGCTATCTCTTTTATTATCATTCCAGTACAATGATTGATTGTTAGAAAAAAAATTTTAATTTATTTGCATCTCAAGATTGACATTGGTCTCCAAAAAAATTGAATTAAAAAAAGATTAAACAGGGGCTCCTGGCTGGCTCAGTTGGTGGAGTGTGCAACTCTTGATCTTGGGGTTGTAGGTTTGAGCCCCATGTTGGGTATAGAGATTACTTAAAAATTAAGTCTTTAAAAAAAAGATTAAAGAGAAATTTTATCTACAGAAAAACAAATTCCAGATTATTGCATGAGTAGGTTTGCGAAGTTGTAATAATTTTTTCTTTATTTGCTTACTAAGAACTTGGGTATATATGTTTTCTGAAGTGTTAATAGCACTTTGAATTAATTCCTAAACACACTACAAACATGGATTCCTAGAGTGAAATTATCTGAGATTTTTTCCATCCTTTCTGAAAAACTTTATATATGCTAAGAACATTCATAGAAAAAGTCTATAGCCTGCAGTTCACTGTAATAACTTTAAATTTGACAAATGTTACATTAAATTTTTTAGGAAAAAATAGAGTTTGAATTGTACATTATTAAATCACATGCAGCTGATCTTCATTATTCATAGTAATGTTCTATAAAGTCGCCATGAACACTCAATTAGCAAATATCGGGACTGTTGCTCCTAGAAGGAATACAAGGTTCCCACAAGTTTCTGTTTACATTATTTTCATCAACCAATCAATACATAACTTTGTTTTATGTGTGTTTCTGTTTAAAGACATCATGTTAAATATATATTGTTGATTCATTAACATTGAACTCCTGGCCAACAGCACTATAACTTGTGTATGAATTAAGCCCATCTAAAACATTTTCTCCATAAGGCAAATGACAGTCTTCTTGTGCTTAGGAACATTAGTAGCCAGCACTTCAACACTACACTTGAGGGCCATTTTAAATAGCAAAATTAAAAAAAAAAAAAGCAAAATCACCAACATAAAACACAAAAATGCAAAAAACATGGCACTAACAACATGAAATAGACTCTTGTTTAAGAGCTGAGACAAGAAGACAGAGTGTTACCTTGTTTGACCTCAGCCTGGGACTGTGTATGTCAGGCAATTCAAAATTTTCACCTCTCTGTTCATGTCCACTAGTAACCGCTAAATTGCCACAGTATTGATTTTGGGGTTACAAATAATTTTAGTGAATAGGTGAATTCCCAAATATGGGATCTATGAATAGAGGATTGACTGTATTCCAATTAAAGAACTGGGGTCAGAGAATTGGAACCAAGATTGAAATCCAGATCTTTTAATATCCAAAGACTATGCCCTTTCCAGTATTCCTTTCTACTTTCAAAAAATGTTGTAATGTGAATTTTAAAAATTGTTTCTTACTAATTTTTCATTATTGGTTTTATAAAACACTAGTACCAAGATAATAAAATATTTTTTCTTATTTTAGGCTGAAAAACTTAATTATAAGGATAAGAAACTGAACATTGGTCCAGCAATAAGAAAACAACAAGTAGGAATCCCTCGTATGTATTGAGAACTAATGTATTTTTCAGTGTTTTTGCATGGTTCTTTTTTGAAATATTAGACTTTTTTGAGAACTTAATTAAAATATCAGGCTTCTTTCAGTTAATAAGGTTATTTTAGCAAAGTTGATGATCAAATGAATATTTCTTACCACAAATTAATATATGTTAGATTTGGGGGGCAGGGAAACTTTTACACAAATAATGGTGCTTACATATATTGCATATAGTTACATCTTTAAAGGAAAACTCTTCTACATAAAAATATAATTTAAAATTGCAAAGGTAATTAGAAGTATTTTGGTACTACTCATTAGAAGTTTTTCTAATTAGAAAAGTAATTTAAAATTAGAAATTGAAGATACTGAAAGTAAAAACCAGTATCAGAAACCCTAGTTGCATGGTAGGTACTGTAGCCCAACTAGATATGTCATAATTATGAGGGAACAATTCCTAAAGCTTTAAGAATTGGCAAAGTTGTGCCTTCCTCAAATTTCTGTAATGCTGCCACCTCTACTCTTCTTTTTTTCTCACTCTTCCTATTTATTATATTAGGCATTTTTACAGTTAGATTTTTACCTAAATATTTATTAAACTCTATAATAGTCTTTGGCTAGAAAAAGATACATAAAATTAGTAACTAAATTTTCTTATTCTTCCTTAACTGTGCCCTAGTATCTACTGGAATGTTTAAAACATTAGGTGGTTATTGTGTATCTGTTAACAAATTAATAGTTGTGCTCATTTGGACTGTTCTATTTTTGACTTAGAAATTAACAGTTTTAGGGGTGCCTGGGTGGCTCAGTTGGTTAAGTGACTGACTGCCTTTGGCTCAGGTCATGATCTCAGGGTCCTGGGATCGAGTCCCACATCGGGCTCCCTGCTCAGCGGAGAGCTTGCTTCTCTCTCTTCTACTCCCCCTGCTTGTGCACATGCTCTCTCTCTCTCTCTGTCAAATAAATAAATAAAATCTTTTTTAAAAAGAAAAAAGAAATTAACAGTTACCAAGTTTAATTTTGACTTAGTTATTTGTTAATTTAGAAGATAACTGAAGTGTCCTTAGTAGGTTAATACTTCTTGTTAGTTCCAAGAGTTAAGCTGTAACATGTAGTAACAGTTCTATACTACTAGCAGTAGGTATAAGTAGTAATGTTCATATTATGACCTATAAGTTGCATTAAAAAAAAACCCATAAATCACCATGCTGAATGCTTTCAGACAGACAGTAAATTTGAGAAGTATAGGGTTAATAACTTAACCAAATGGTAGCATTAGCCTTCAAATCTAGGACAGGTTGACTCCAAAGCTCTTTATACTTTTCTTCAAATAAATATTAAGTATAAAAGTAGATTTACAAAATACGGGGGATTTTATCTCTTTTTCCATCTTCCATTACCAACATTCTAGTCCTAGCTACCCACCTTGCTTGCCTTGATTACTGGAAGAGCCTCCTAGCAGGTCTTTCTGAATCCAGTTTTGGTACCTTCCAACATCATATACAAGGCAGCCAGAGTGATCTTTCAGAAGTGTACATTTTATATTATTCTCTGCTTATTTTGAGTTGTTCTTTTCTTTTCTTCCTATACTTTAGCCATCTAGCCTTCTCTCAGTTCCAGAACATACCATACTCCTGATACACATTATTTTCTTTACCTAGAATGCTCTTTGCCATCCCATTCCCATCCCAATCATTTTTTTTTTTTTTTAGATTGGGCATAGAGCCCAATGCGGGGTTGAATTCACGACCCTGAGACAAAGACCTGAGCTGAGATCAAGAGTCAGATGCTTAACTGACTCAGCCACCCAGGTGCCTCCCAATCATTCTTTAAAGCTCAGCCCAAACCTCATTTCTTCACAGATTAAATACAATTGGAAAGTTCATACTACCAGTGTAATACCCTATACTACCTCTTAATGTATTTATCAAAATCGTATTTAATTAATTAAATTGTGTAATAAGCTAATAACTGTGTTCCCCACCAAAACCTAACTTCCACATGGCACGTCCATTTTTTTTCTTTTTTCTTTTTGGCTGTATCACCAGCCAAGTTCAATGCCTTGTAATAGTACTGACTCAAAATTTATTTATTTACTTAACAGATAAACCTGTGGCTCCTTGAGTATCTTTGAAGGGAAATCCATGAAACTCCTGAATTGTGTGCAAAATTTTGTTTGAATGTATATATCTCTGAGAAAAGGGTCCATGGTGTTCATCAGATTCTCCAAAGGATGGGATTAAGAATCACTAACATAAGCAGTAACAATACTAGATGAAATATAGTGAAAATATAAAAGCTCAGAAGCAGTAGTGCTGCTTAAAGTGGTAGGCCAGTGCTACTCACAGTGTGGTTTGCTGCCAGTTAACAGTTCAGTTGGAATCTGTCAAAATGCAGATCCTCAGGCTCTATCCCAGACTTACTGAATCTAAATCTCTGCAAATGTGGCCCTGGAATTTGTATCCTAATAAACTATCTAGGTGATTCTAATGTATGTTAAAATTTGAGAATTACTGGTATAGTGGAAGGAGGATTGCCAGTTCCACTAATTTACATAAACTTGCTGGTTAGTACTTAATCTGACTTGGCTTTTATATAAATTTTTTAAGTGTTATCTTGACAAAAAATATTTTTTTTATTTTGGGGGAGGGAGGGGTTATATATAACTTGATCTGAGAAAAGAGATGGGGACCTAGAACTACACATGAAGATTTGTCATGTTTGCAATAAGCAGCAGTTGTAGCAAAGGGAGGCTGGAGAATAAGAGTCATAGCCTCAATGAATGCTTGTGATAGTAGATCCAAAGAATTTTAGGATGGAACCAAAATTCTTCAGGAAAGTATGGAATCTTTTCCAACTTCACTGCCTTCATCATCTTTGGCCTTTTACAAATAAAGTTCTTTTTTTTTAAGATTTTATTTATTTATTTGTCAGAGAGAGAGCACAAGCAGGGGGAGCATCAGACAGAGGGAGGAGCAGGCTCCCTGCCTGAGCAGGGAGCCCAGTGCAGGGCTCAATCCCAGGACCCCGGGATCATGACCTGAACTGAAGGCAGATGCTTAACCAACTGAGCCACCCAGGCGTCCCTACAAATAAAGTTCTTACTAAGGTCTTAGGAACTTTATTACAGTGTCTATAGTCTTCAGTTAACTCATATATGATGTATATTTGTAAAAATAATGACCTTGCTGATAATTATTTAAATTTTTAAGCCTTGGATTTGATTACATTGTTATTAAAATCTAAATTGGTTAATTTTTAGTATTCTGTTTTTTTAAGATTTTATTTATTTATTTGACAGAGGGAGAGAGAGCAGGAGCAGGGAGAAGGGGCAGAGGCAGAGGGAGAAGCAGACTTCCCACTGAGCAGGGAGCCCAATGTGGGACTCGATCCCAGGACCCTGAGATCATGACCTGAGCCGAAGGCAGCCGCTTAACCGACTGAGCCACTCAGGCGCCCCAATTTTTAGTATTCTTTATTGAACTTATTTCTTTTTCTTATATTCACTTTAAGCTAATAAAAGCTCTAAGAGAGGGGCGCCTGGGTGGCTCAGTTGGTTAAGCGACTGCCTTCGGCTCAGGTCATGATCCTGGAGTCCCGGGATCGAGTCCCGCATCGGGCTCCCTGCTCGGCGGGGAGTCTGCTTCTCCCTCTGACCCTCTTCCCTCTCGTGCTCTCTGTCTCTCATTCTCTCTCTCTCAAATAAATAAATAAAATCTTTAAAAAAAAAAGCTCTAAGAGAGTGAGTTTGAAAATACATACTTTGAAAATACTTTAATGTATGGGATTTTTTAAAATTTGCAACATTCAGTTTTTACTGTAACTATATAGGTGTGTTAAAATAAACATTTTCAAGTGTCCAGAAATTACCTTTTTAAAAGTTAAACTGAACATTTTAATTATTATTATTTAATCTTTGCTTTAGGTTCCAGTGTAATGCCAGCAGCTGGAACAATGTATCTAACAACTTCAACTGGATATCCTTACACTTATCATAATGGTGTGGCTTATTTTCATACTCCAGAAGTAACTTCTGTCCCACCACCTTGGCCTGTAAGTAATTTTCATCTTAAAAGGGTTTCCATCTATTCTATCAATTTTTTAAAACATTTATTTCTGAAATATTTCAACCATAGACAAGTACAAATAATAATTAACAGCCATGTAGCTACCACTTAAATTTAATAAATGTTAACATTTTGCCATATTTACTTACGTTCTTTTAATAAGGGGAAATGAAATATGAGAAATTCAGGCAGAGTCTCCTTGCCCCCATTTTCTTACCACCTTTTTCTCCTCAGACATACCCAGAATATGTAACCAGAATATCTTTCCTATCATTTTATGTTTTTACTACAAATGTAGGTATCCTTAAACAATAGGTAGTATTGCTTTGGGTGATTTTTAAACACTATGTAAATAATCAGTTTTTCTATTCAACATTATGTTTTTGAGATTAAACCATGTTGATACTAGTATATCTAATTCACTTATTTTAATATTTTATAATATTCCATTGTATGAGTGTATATTCCCCTATTGATGGACATTTTAAGTTTTTTCTGTAATCAAGACTACAGTGAACATCCAGATCTTGTATGTATTATGTGAGAGTTTGTCTAGGAAAGTAGTCTTCAAAGTTTTTCACTTGTATATCCTCTAAACATTTTCTGAAAAATTATGAATACTCATTTTTAAGTTGATATCTGAAATTTATAATTTTAAATAATTTAGGAATATAATGTATTATGTATGTTGTATACCTAAAACTAATATAATGTTATGTCAGTTATGCCTCAAAAAAAAAGATAGAAAATGTCTAGAACTCTGTTAACAAAACTAGTCAGCCAAATAAAACTAATCAAATAAAACTTCATTTCTATTAGAAAATTCTTAACTTTTAATTATTTTAATTATTTTTAAGTTCAAAGAAATGCATTAATATGTATTCCTATAACCATGATGTAACTTACTTTGTTCCCTGGATGAAATAAGGAACCATCTCCCCTTTAATATTTCTTTTTTTTAAATAATTTTTTATTGTTATGTTAATCACCATACATTACATCATTAGTTTTTGATGTAGTGTTCCATGATGCATTGTTTGTGCATAACACCCAGTGCTCCACGCAGAATGTGCCCTCTTTAATACCCATCACCAGGCTAACCCATCCCCCACCCCCCTC